TTTTTGGTACAGAGGGAGTATGAAGAGTTCAAAGTTCGGATAAATTTGTTGGTCGCAACAGCGCAGAAAGTCCCTGAGGAGGGTTGGACAATGCAGGACGGGACTCCATGGCCTGGAAATAATGTCAGGGATCATCCTGGGATGATTCAGGTGAGGGGCAGTTCATTAATACATTCATGTTGAAGAGCAAATCCAAGTGTTTTTCCTTATACACATTATACGTCATTTAGTATTTCTAAGATTTATCATTTTTTTCAGGTTTTCCTCGGTCAAAATGGGGTTCGTGATGTAGAAGGAAATGAATTACCACGTCTGGTTTATGTGTCTCGTGAAAAGAGACCGGGTTTTGACCATCACAAGAAAGCTGGAGCTATGAATTCTCTGGTAGTTCTCTCTCTCTCTCTCTCTCTCTCTCTCTCTCTCTATATATATATATATATACATACACCTCCTATATAAGTTAAGAACTCTTATTTTTTGATTTGTCAAATTGTTATTGACATGTTGACTATATCAAGGTGCGGGTATCAGCAATCATCTCAAATGCTCCTTACATACTGAATGTTGACTGTGATCACTACATAAACAACAGCAGAGCTCTTCGTGAAGCAATGTGCTTCATGATGGACCCCCAGTCAGGAAAGAAGATCTGTTACGTACAGTTTCCTCAAAGATTTGATGGGATTGATCTTCACGATAGATACTCAAATCGCAACGTTGTATTCTTTGATGTAAGGACCTTGTTTGTTTGTTTATTATATTCTAAAAGTAGGTGTGCCAGCAGTTTCAAAAACATGATTTTTTTGTAACAGAAGCTAATCTATTTCATAATTTGAATGCAGATCAATATGAAAGGTTTAGATGGGATCCAAGGGCCCATTTACGTCGGAACTGGGTGTGTCTTCCGAAGGCAGGCACTCTACGGATTTGATGCTCCTACCAAGAAAAAACCACCAGGGAAGACCTGTAATTGTTGGCCAAAATGGTGCTGCATGTGTTGTGGATCTAGAAAGAAAAACAAGAAATCCAAGTCAAACGATAAAAAGAAGAAGACCAAGGATACCTCAAAGCAGATACATGCACTAGAAAATATTCAGGAGGGGATTGAAGGTAAGGAGTTGTTTCCATGGCTACCGTAGTTTTTATCTTGTTACAGACTAATCTTGAATTTCATTTGCTCAATGTACTTGTGAATGTGGATTACTACTTGGATTTTTGTATGCTGATGGTTGTCTTAAACTCAGACATTTACTTTGCTACTGAAACCTTTTGCAGGAATAGATAATGAAAAGGCATCCCTGATTCCCCAAATAAAATTTGAGAAAAAATTTGGACAGTCGCCAGTTTTCATTGCTTCGACACTTATGGAAGACGGTGGAGTTCCAAAGGGAACAAGTTCTGCATCACTCTTGAAAGAAGCCATCCACGTTATTAGTTGTGGCTACGAAGATAAATCGGAATGGGGGAAAGAGGTATGCGGAACTGTTTATGAAATTTGACTAGTGAATGACTCGGGTGATTAAAATTCGATGTTTGGCATTTTTCTGTTTTCTAAATCTTAATTACACTCCAGGTTGGTTGGATCTATGGCTCTGTTACAGAGGATATCCTAACGGGATTCAAGATGCATTGTCATGGTTGGCGATCCGTGTATTGCATGCCCAAGAGGCCTGCATTCAAGGGTTCTGCTCCTATTAACTTGTCAGATCGGCTTCACCAGGTGCTTCGGTGGGCTTTGGGATCTGTTGAAATTTTGTTGAGCAGGCATTGCCCTATTTGGTATGGATATGGGTGTGGTTTGAAATGGTTGGAGCGCTTTTCTTATATAAATTCGGTTGTTTATCCTTTGACATCCATCCCCTTGCTTGCCTACTGTTCCTTGCCGGCTGTCTGTCTCCTTACTGGGAAATTTATTGTCCCTGAGGTAATTTTCCCTTCACATATTTACATATGTAACAAAACCTTTAAATTTCAGGGAACATATTTTTCAAAAGGCCAAACCTGAATTACTGTGCTTGCTGGATTTCTGTTGCAATGCTTTCAGCTGATATTGGCTTTCACTGATTAACAGATTAGCAACTATGCCAGCATCCTTTTTATGGCTCTCTTTTTGTCCATTGCTGCAACGAGCATACTTGAGATGCAGTGGGGACATGTTGGCATCCACGACTGGTGGAGGAATGAACAGTTCTGGGTGATTGGAGGTGCGTCATCACACTTCTTCGCACTCATCCAGGGTCTGCTCAAGGTTTTGGGTGGTGTGAACACAAACTTCACTGTCACATCAAAAGCAGCAGATGATGGAGAGTTTTCCGACCTATACCTCTTCAAGTGGACGTCACTTTTGATCCCGCCCATGACCTTATTGATCATAAACATAATTGGAGTCGTAGTTGGAATTTCGGATGCCATCAACAATGGTTACGAAACATGGGGTCCTCTCTTTGGTAGGCTGTTCTTTGCCATTTGGGTCATCGTCCATCTTTACCCCTTCCTAAAAGGTTTGGTGGGACGACAAGAGAGGCTTCCGACCATCATTGTGGTGTGGTCAATTCTTCTGGCATCCATATTCTCCCTGCTGTGGGTGCGAATCAATCCATTTGTGAATAAAGGTGGCATTGTGCTAGAAGTTTGCGGGCTGGATTGTAACTGAGATACGCTATAGAGAAGAAGGCTTAGACAGTGTGAGTTCGGTAGAAAAGCTGTTTGGACAGAAACAAAAAAAGGATCCAAGTTCCAAGTGCGCGACCGAAGGAAGGTAAAGTTGTTTCAAACAGTTTGTATTCATGAAGGATAAATCTTCGCAGTTAGAGCAAATCGTGGCCCGTTGGTGGCGTGTAGATACAAAGGGACTGGATCTGACACATGAATTTGTTTTGCAAAGTGTTCATTAATTCTTTGATACATGGATTTTGGAAGGGGGATTGTATTTGAGGTCTGTCTGTAATCCAATGAGAAGATAAAAGAGTTTAGTATTGGTTTCATAAATTTATATTAACTTTCCGAATAAGGGGTTTCATATTTTAAAACGACGTCGTCGTCGTCGTCTTGTGCAGTAATTATTGAGAATAGCTGCTGCTATCGCAGGTCGTATGTATTTTTTTGAGATGTCCAGAATGTTTTTGCCAAACAAGGCAATTCTTCTTGTATGTGTGCTTGTTTAGAACAACTCAAACTCTCAATAAATGTTTGATTTCATGTCCTACTATCTGTCGGATTCACTTGTGCTTCAATTCAATCTTTGATTCTTCATGAATGATTCTGAATTTGCACTTCAAGCTTGTGTAATGGTATGGTAATGTGGCGGAATGCGCAAACTCACATCTTTCTTGAGTACGACCGCCAACACCATTACCATCAAGTCATATCACTGTCACTACCGTTGCTGCCACTACCAGCGTTGTTTGTTTCAATCTAAGTTATTCCTAATAATTTAGGTTGAAATTGGAATGCATTTAACGATTCTGAAAATTCTCGAATTTTTTATCTGAATTTTTCCTACAAGTTTCAATTTTATTCCACCAAAAAAAAATCCCCATTTTTATTATATTTATTTATTGGAATTATGTAATTTGAAATTAACTTTTTTATATTATTCATGTGTATTGTTAGCTTTGCATTTTATTAAAATTGGAGTGTATTTAATGATTCTGAAAAAAATTCGAATTTCTAGTCTGAATTTTTTCAAAAAGTTTGAATTTCATTCTACTGAAAAATATATCCCATTTTTATTATAATTATTTATTAATATTATTGTTTGGGCCTGAAATAATATTGTTGGGTCGAGCATAGGGTTGTGCTCAGCCCAAAGCTATGTCAACTACTATGGGTTGCTTGATAGATTCCGGGCCAGATAGTAGGCTCGGTCGAATCCTATTCTAAGAAGGAGTAATCCAGATAAACAAAAAGGGTCGAGGAAGTCCTGGTGCAACCAGGATTCCCAGCCAGCAATGAATAAAGCCTCAGAAGAGGGGAAAGTTCAGTGTCCTAATGGGAGTAGGTTTGTTCGAAGTAAAGTTGGAACGGGACAAGGACTCCCAATCCAGATAGGGGCGCGATTCGGTCTCAAGGAATGGGTGCTATAAATACAAGAAATCATGCAACAAAAAAAGGACCTTCAATTCAACATACAATTGCCCTGCGCAAAGCCTCTCAAATACCTTGAGATTTTTTCCTTTTCTTTTTTTGCCGACACACCTTCAGTTTGGATAAACAGCACTGTGGAGGCACCCGGCGAACACCTTCAGTTTGGATAAACAGCACTGTTGCCGCATAACCAGCTGACCGAGAAGCACCTTCAGTTTGGATAAAAAGCACTGCGTCGAGGCCGACTGGTTACCTATCCAAATCTCGGCCGAGAAGGGTTTTCGAATCCTTGTTGGCAGGGGTCATCTTGTTAGCCCTCGCGGCGTAATAAGGTGCTACGAATTATGTTATTTGGCGTACTGGACGTCGAGTGATTTCATGATTGGATACTCACAAGTGAGTTTCAGAGTTCGGCATTCTGACGGCCGAACTACATTCACCATCAAGACATACATCACATTCGAGTACTTGTGTCCATATAGTTTGGTGTCGATTCGACGTGTCTATACTCTTACAAATATAATCACAGTGACCGAATCAGGCGCCGACGATTTGTGAACTTCGCAGAACTAGGGGCCTGGTCTTCAGGCCCTAGAACCCAGAGATCGAGAGGATTCCTTCCTCGGTCGCAGTCGCAAGATAAAGAAGTCAACAACGCGCTCAACGCGACCTCAACAAATTTTACTCATCGGCCGAGCTCGACCGACGAGTTGGCACGCCCCGCATTCAACCGAATGACGTAGTTAGCTTATTAGTTACTCGGTTTGCGCGCCACGTAGGTTTTGTAATTTTTAGAGTCAACAATTATGTAGTTTGTAATTAACTTTTGGATTTTATTCATGTACTCATTCTCTAATAAGAATAAATGCATATATGAAACTTTTTGTAAAACATATGAAATTAGATTGTGTTATAAAAATTCCGAAATTACTTCGATTCCAAATTTAGAAACTACGATTCGATCCAAACCAATCTAATCTAAAATTTTGGAATGGAAATTGGAAACCTTGGGATCCAATCGTTCCGATCATCTTTTAAAGTTCGATCATAACAATCCATTACAAGACCGTACCAAATATTGTAGACTACCAAAAGACTGATGAATATCTATCTGCATGAGGTATGCTTCAGCCTTCACCTGAAGAAACAAAGCAAGACATCTAGCAGGCCTACTTTCCGAGATCCTCCAATGCCCTCCGAGGTTTCAGAGTTTCCGCTGCTGACTTGGTAAATCGATCAACCTTTGTGCTTCTGAAATTTTCCTTCATATACAAAGTATTCACCACACTCTTGGGAGTACTAGGGATCAAACTCTCTTTCTTCTCCAACCTTGCGGCACAAGAAACAATTTTACTTTTGTTCATATCTTGCTTCCAACATTCTTTCCTAGGTGATTCCGACTTATCTGAGAAACACGAGCATGGAGCTTGAACAATTAGCTTTCTTTTCCATGTAAATTAGAGTTTGAATAAACGCATAGAGGGTAAGGACGATGAGAAATGATGAAAAATACGCTTACCTTGTTTCAAAACAAAATGTGGAGATGCGAGACATTGATCCACAGTATCAACATCAGCGTTCGGATCACTTGCTGCAGGGATATCAAAAGGACCAGAACTGATGCCGCTCATCTTAGCATCAATATCACCAGTCTCATCACCTTCCTCCTTAGTCCACCTACAAAGGTGTCCTCATCTGACATAGGAGAAAGAGTGGATTCCCGAACTTCCTCTGCCATTCTTTCCCTACCATCTCCATGTTGCTCTGCGGAAACTCCTGCAGTTTCCGGAACATTTTCTATTTTTTCTTTCACGTCCTCACCAGCTTCATTGGCATCAATAAACCCTAGTACAATTGAAAATACAGTAAAAATAATTGTTTCAATAGATTACACGAAATCTATGCTCACATCCAGTAACTGTAGCTTTCCAATCTATAGACTTCCAATTAACAACGAATTCCGGCTATTGAAGTAAAGGATAGTTGTCTTATACGATTATATCTAATATCCTAAAGTCTTGGGATCGTAGTTAACATTAATAATGAAGTTTAAAACTAACACTTACCACAGCTTGAAAAATCGGTAATAGGAGAATCGGCATGGCAATTAGTATCCATTTTCTGGGCGGACCTTAGCTCCTTCACTTCCTCTAAATTACGCACAGGATCACCATGTTGACCTGCAGCAACTGGTGCAGTACCAACATCACTTTCTTTCCCTTTCTTCATATCCTCGTCATCTTCAATCATTGAATTGACATTTGACATTTCTGGATCTGATTTCAAAATGATATCTATGTTGTCATCTCGGAAAAACTCCATCTCAAAACTGGAGAATAAATGCACAGCAACATTCAACTTCGAGGCTTCATTTTCTGATTAACATCAAATAACGATTTCAGTTGAATGAAGATTAATTGTTTTAAAAGAAACCAACCCAAAGATATACAGATAATACTTGGATTCTTACCAACGCATTGTTTGCACCCCACTCCCCACCCCATCATTTGCCACCAGGCATAAAAAGTGATAATAAAAATATAACGATAAAAGGTAATAGAAATTGAAAACGACAATTAATTTGCAGTAACTTATTCACCCTTATGCAATGAGCACTAACCATGACTAGAAGCAATAGCTGGAGAATCAGCAGAGACTCTTTCTGCAATTCCAAATTTGTCACCTTGCATAGGCAAATTCCTCCTTTCGGGATCATTTCCTGTAAAGGGGCAAAGAAACATAAAAGAGTGCAGAAAATCAGTTAGAGATAATAAACCGTTATACACTCTACAAAATGATAAGAGGTATCGTATAGCTACAAGTAGCAATACATTGTACATAATTCAAAAGAAGATGCAGAATGCAAAGACACAGGTCAGTGAAATGTTGTGCATTGAGAAAGTAAGGTCACCTGAAGCATCAAAATTTTCTGAAATAGCTAATGGAAGAGCATCAAAATTAAGTTGCTCCTGAGAATCAAAATGGATAACATTGGAACTTGATTCTGAATCCATCTTCCTGAAGTTTTCTATTCTTTCTGCGGTTTTGTCATCCACAGATATGGAATCACCTGAAGCAGCTGAAGAACGTGAATCTGTATCAGAAAGGATTGCTATGCAATTTGATGAAGTAAATAAATGCTTAATTAGTGCCAACAAAATGAAAATAAAAAGCAAAACATGTTTACCTTCTCTCAAAGCTGAACTTGCATGTGTGGGTTCTTGATCCAAAGTACCTTCAACGTCAGGGTTTAGATCACTTCTTGGTGCAGGCACATCAAAAGGACAAGAATTGATGCCAGTCATCTTAAAATCAGTTGACATTTTGGCTGTACTTCTGTGGACACTAGAGTATTCAATACTACCGGTCTCATCATCTTTCTCCTTTGGTATTTCATTTACACAGGCGTTCTCATCTGAAACAGAAGTGTATGTGGATTTTGGAAGTTCCTCTCCCATTGTTTGATCAAGATTGTCACGTTGCTCTACAAACACCAAAGGAATTTCCAAAACTTTTTCTTCTTCTTCCTTCACATCCTCAGTACCTTTATTGTCTTTTATAAGCACTGAATTGAGGTCCTGAAATTCATCTCTTGTGCCATCTCCTAACAATATTTTCATCTCAAAATTGGTCAGTCCAACAGATTCAACTTTTAACACCAAAGCCCTATATAACCGAAAATACAGAAAAATAATTATTGCAACAGATCCTCCTTTCAATTTTACAACCAGGCTTAGCTAAAAAGATTAACTGGAAATATAAGTTCACGTGCAATAAATGTAACTTCCCAGACTATAGACTTCCAAATGTTGGGCTCTTCATTAAAATTGTATTAGCTTAGACTCTTGGAATCGTAATTAATTAAAAATATTACAGTGAAGTTTAAAACTTAACACTTACCACAACTTGAAAAATCGCTAATAGGAGAACCGGCATGGCACTGAGTATCCTTTTTTCGAGCTGGCTTTAGCTCCTCAATTTCCTCAAATATAAGCTTAGGATTATCATGTTGACCTGCAACAACTTGTGCAGTACCAAAATCACTTTCTTTCCTTTTCTTCACATCACTACCATCTTCAATCATTGAATTGACATTTGGCATTTCTGAATCTGATTTCACGGTGCCATCTATTTTATCATCGCAGAAAATCTCTTTGATCTCAAGACCGGTGAACATAGGCGAGCCAACATTTAACTCCAAGTCTGTATTTTCTGTTCAACCCAAAATTACAAAAACAATTAGAAATGAAACTTTTTAATAACCAGAACATATATAGATGAACTCCTTGGATACAAACTTATGCACTACCTTCACCACACTTCCCACCCCCACAACCCCCAACTCTATGCTACCTGGCTTAGGAAGTGAATATAAGAATAATAAAATACAATTCTTGAGAAATGAAAACAACTATTAACTCGCAGCCGCTTATTCACTCTTGTGCAAATAAGGACTGACCATGACTAGAAGCAGTAACGGGAGAATCAACTGAGACTCTTTCTTCCATTCCAAAATTTTCACCTTGCATAGGCAGATCCCTCCTTTCAGGACCATTGTCTGTGGACAGTAAAATATTTTTCTCTCATTAAGCATCATGCGGTTTAGATATCGAAATGTTTGCATTATCAGTACAGAAAAAGATAAAGAAAATACTAATACGAATAGATAATTGACTGCAATACACTCTAAACAATGACAAGAGGAGTAGAATAGCTACAAGAAATAATTTAAATGTACATAATTCAAAACCACTATTATCATAGAAAGTGTTCGTTAGATGATAACTCATCAGTAGATAAGGTTCAAACGAATGTCAGAAGCACAAAGCAAAGACCACTCATAGGGCAGTGAAACATGGTGTGTTCACAAAGTACACTTACCTGGCCCAAAATGATCCATGCTGACAGAAAATGAATTGACATCTAATGAGTTTCTTTCTTCTGATAATTTGCCACCATCCGACCTAAGTTCTACTAACTTAGTAGCATCATCAACATTCTGAATACCAATTACTTCTTTCATGGTTCTAGTATCAACTTCATTTGAACGAACTTCACCATTTCTATGGCCATACAAGAAATCAGTATCATCAACTTCACTATTGTCAGTCCTGAAAGGACACTCCTTGGAGCTAGATTTAACCTCCATCTTCCCGACATTTGCTATTCTTTCTGCAGTTTTGTCATCTGTGGATATGGAGTCACCTGAAGCAACAGAAGCACGTTTATCCAGCTCTCCAACACTTCCAAAATTGAATTCATCTAATTGCAATGGAGTTTCTGAAACCTCATTTGATCTCCCATTTGCAACATCAATGCAAACACTCAAAGCAGGGACATTCTTGTAAAACTCCACCACCCGTTCAGTGAACGCCATATCGGAACCTGCTGAACCACTGGTCATTACACAAGCTCCCTCTTCTTCAACTCCAGAATTTCTGCATTTATCTAAACCAGCATAAACAGCGTCACCAGTCCTAGAAGCTTCAGTGAATATTGCTTTACAGGTGGAATCATTAGAACTCTTGACCTCAAAATATTCATCCATAGCTTTCTCACGATCAATATACTCTTGGATAATAGCAGATGCAGTATCTTGCTCACTACATCTTTCATTATCTTCCAAAATATGCTCTTCTGTGAGTGGAGCATTAGCAAGTTGCTTTTCATCCGGTTTTTTAGCTTCATCTTGTTCTGCATTCTCAAATACTGTATTCATCTCCCAGTGAGTGAAAATTTCAGACTCAACAGCATGCATTAAAGCCCTATTATCTGCAAATCCAAGATCTACATGCTTATACTTATAAATCAAGCTAAAATGATATCCAGTTCATTTAATATCATCAAGCAGCGTGTCATTCTAACATTTCAACATCAAGGCAATTTTCTAAATAAGAAACTGGCAAAACACCAGAATAAGGCAATTTTCTAAATAAGGCAATTTAAATAAGAAACTGGCAAAACACCAGAATAACAAATGTTCGGAATTGGTTACAATGGATAAAGAAGAGGCATTTTCTAAAATATATTCAGGTTTATTTCAACATCAAGGCAATTTAAATAAGAAACTGGTAAAAACCGGAGTAACAAAAGTTCGGAATTGGTTACAATGGATAAAGAAGAGGCATTTCCTAAAATTTATTCAGGTTTTAAAGCTCATCACTTCTCATAATCGGCATCATAAAATGTTAACATGTTAGGTAGAACATTAGTCTGCTATAATCAGATAAATGCTGGCAATGAGTCTTCTGACTACGCAATAATGATATGTGTCAAATTAGCAAGTCTTACAATACCTTTCTGGAAATAAGGTAGCCCTTCAGCATTTTCTCTGAAAGTTGCATTTATATCCACATTTGTGCCATTCATGGTACCCAAGAAAGCTTTATCAACTATACCGGCCTCTGCTTTACTCTCTAACGCACCATTGTCTTCTTGAAAGGTTGTACCCTCATCGAGACTGTCATTTCCTACAAATGATAAGAATAAACAAAAAGCATTACAGACACAAAATTTCATCTTTATCAGTTTCCAACCAAAATCGGCATGTCATATTATCACCTAACTTCATATTTATGTACAAAGTGCTAGACCATGTCCATTAAAATCAAACTTGAAAAAAATTACTAAAAGATGAAGAATCAATAAACACCGAGACAATGGCCCCACCTGAACGCATTTGAGGTTTGGCACAATCATTATCGGCAGATAGTTTGACTTTTCTGATACTGTAAGTATCAGCTATCTCATTGGTTCCAGCCAAGCCAGCTTCGATTTGTGGCACTCTGTCACTTTCAACGTCGTTACTCAAAATAATGCCATGACCCCAGCTACTCCGATGAATCGGTTCACCTCCAACCAAGCAATCACCAACATTATCTAAATTAGACTCAGTTTTTGAATTCGTACTTCTAGAATTTACAGCACTATCCAATATTCCAGCATTACCATCCATATTGTTATTGTCATCCATGTGGATACAGTCATTTGAAGAAAAGGATGTACATCTCTTCATCTCCAAAGAAGCATCCTTTGGTAGAACTTCACTGTCTACAGACAAGAACCTTTTTGAAGGACCTTGAGACTTGTTGTCATTCACATCTTGCATTTTTGCCAGATCAAAATCAGAAATAGACCCTGATTGTCTCTCATCCACCTTTGAATCCATAGAACTTTCATGATTTGAACAACCTCTCACACTTGCTGCCACTGCATGCTCTTCAAGGACACCACTAGAATCCTTATTAGCATTGTCATTTGTGTACATAGAGTCTTCTGAAGCCAAAGAAGGACGTCTCTTCTGTACTGCAGAAGCTTTCTTGTTTATGTCAGGATTACCACAAGTCACTTGATCCGGTTGGAGAACAGATTGTAGAATTTCACCGTCTACAGACACCGCTGTACTTGAAGGAACTTCAAATTCATTCTCATTTACATCTTGCATTTTTGCCAAGTCAGAACTAGAAATAGACCCCAACTCTGTTTCGCCAATCATGGCAACCATAGAACTTTCAGGATTTGAAAAAACTTTCGTACAAGCTTGCAATGTGTGCTCTTCCAGAACACCAACCAAATTAAAGGATAAATTTTGGTCTCCATGCACCAATGCCTCATCTCTTTCATGTAGATTTATGCCTTCAACTGGTAATTTGAATTTATCTTGAAGTTGATCCCCTACTGCAGATTAAATAATCATTAGTATCGCATAACTTTTTTGATAACTATAACTAAATTGACACTATTTTTTAGGAAATGAGAAAGAATATCAGTCTCGCCTGTCCATTCTAACAATTAACCAATATATAACATCAAAGATAGAGTTTCCAACTTAGTTGACATGACTGTCCACAATGCCCTAAAGATAAAAGTTGACAGGAAATGAGAAAGAACGTCCATCTCCTTCTCCTCTATCTGTTCTAAGGATGAACCAATAAGTCAAAGATAGAGTTTCAACTTAGTTAACGAATTTGTAATATATGATCATAAACAGAGGGGAAAAAAAAAGTAAAAGCACTAGTGTTGGTAATCAAGGCCACAGAGAAAATTTAACTGAACCTTAGTTGTGGAAGTCTAAGGTCAAGAACATTTATATCATGTATTGGAGAAAAATTCATGTACTGACCCTTGCTCATTACATGAGGGAGCTTGAAGGAAGAAAAGCTTTGAACAAGTTCACCAGCAGCTGGAACAAAGAAAACAAACGTACATAAATTATGACAGACAAATTCCTTGACACAAAGAAAAAGTATAACAAAGGGAGTTTGTTGAAGGCCTTACTATCTTCAGTTTTTGAGTCGCTTCCAACTTTATCCATAATACTATCTTCTAAGGCGATTGGATTGGTTCTGTCACCACCAAAGAGGTCATGCCCATGTTTCTCTTTAATGTTTCCAAAAACATTTTCATTGCTTTCAACAAAGACCTCCTGCTTATCCCCAGCAACCTGACAATCTGTCTTGTCAAGTACACCATCATCCAACTTGGAGTTTCTTTCAATGCCCTCACTAGCATACTCTTCAACAACAATTTGTTCAAAATCTAATGCTTTAAAAGATTCATTATCTTCCCGCACAAAAGCATTAGCCCTCTTATGAGCACATGGGAGCTTCACCTGCTTGGAAGAAGTTACTTCATCAGGGTGTTCAGTCGCATAACTAGGAATGTCTACCCTTCCAATACAATTTATATTGCTTTCTCCAACAGTAGTAGCTTGAGCTTCAATCTGATTCCCATCTACACTTCCAGCTGAAAACAACGCAGCATAAAAGGGGTTTAGTTATCACAACCAACTACAACTGAAAACTATTTAATCTTTTGGTGCTGTACAACTTTTGGAGCAAGTATAAATCCAGTAAATAATGCTTCTATTACCAATAGCATAAAAGTGATATAGAGAAATTATGCTCAAATGGTGTGATTCATTAATACCAGTTAACAACAGAAGCATCCCCATACGCATGAAAATGAATTAAGACATTATAAAATGAAACATGGAATACCTTTCTTTACTAAAAAAAATGCTGGTAAAGTTACAGCAGTATCACTGGCCACAATTCCACCCTGATATAATTCTCTAATTGTCTCTGCATTAGCTTCAGCAGTATTGCTGTCTGAATCCGTACAGACTGGCTGGCCATCGCTTATAGGTTTTTCATTTTCTTCAAAGCTTTTAGAGAATGACTCAAATTTGCTTATGGGTTTTTCATCCACTCCATCATTTCTTTGGTTTATCATCTCAACAGTCAACGACTCGTCTGTTTCCAAGTCCAACAGCTTGGAACATTCACCTACAAATTAGACGAACTCATTAAGCACCAAAATTAATTATAACATCCATTCAACAAAAACAACATTAACACCCTTACCTTCACAATCTGGTTTAGATGTAGGTGATTGACCATCACCAAGACAGGTAAATTTGGAAGAACCCGCATTGCTGGGCTTATCTGGGCAGTCTACTGGGTTTCGTTGAACGAAGTTATCATGACCAGTATCACCTCTGTTCAATGATGGACAAGAACGATCATTCCAAATACTCTGCAGCAGTGTTATCATTGATGACATCATCCACCATAACACTGTCCACCGTATTAATTGCTACATCCTGTGCCATTTGGACTTGAGATATACCTTGAAATCTTGCAGATTCTGAGGGATGATTTTCCTTCATATGCGCTAAGATTTCCATCGCTTTATCCTTGTCAGGATATAGAGAAGACACTTCAAAACAGGAAGGCTGCCCCTTTGCATACGATTCCTTCCTCTTGGTTGATTCATTCCTCTTCTTGCTTGAATTTTGTACAATTTCTTTGCTGGAGCTAGAACCAACATCATTCTCAATTCCTGCAGCTTCCGGAATATACAATCCAGCATCTATATCTGCTTCTTCAACTTTTTCTTCAAGGGGTGAATTGAGATTAGTAGACAAAACCTCCTCTGCTATAATAGGAACCCTAGATTCAGTTTTTGTATACTTTCCAGCAGCTATACTAATGACTTCTGTAGCTGCAACAAAGTCACGTTTGGATGCATTACGTGAGGATTGACTTTGAGGCCCTTTACTTGAAGAGTCATTTACAATATATGAACTTCCGTTTTCCAATGTTGGCTCTTGAATTTTCTTCACAAACCCATCATTTTTAACTCCATCAGAAATTTCACCCTTGTCATCAAAGTCTTCTGTTATTAACTTTTCACTAGCATTCCGACTGGACCGCCTTACAGGCTTAGTAAAATTAGAATATTTTACAGCAACTAATTCTGTTGATTGCTTCACCGTTCCAGCGCCTTCATGATTTCTCAGCTCCCTATCATCAGAATCAGCAGAGGGAAACAATGTAGTCTTGCGTCTGGACCTCCTTAAAGGACCATTGAGTAGGAGAGCAACACCTTCTTCTATTGTTTCTACACTTTGCTCAACTTTGGAAGCTCTTTCCAAAACTGTATTCCTTGGCCGTTTTCTGGTATCACCTTTTGCCAATTCCTTGCTCTTCTGGACCACAGAAAATCTCCGCCTCGATGTCATACTTGGGCCCTTTGATGGTTCTTCAAGTTGAGGAACCACTTTGCATTCTTCTTGGCCTGACAATTTTCCCACAAACTCCATTTTAGGCGTCTTTCTCCTACCAACAAATTTAGTATCTGTCAATTGCCCACATACAGAGTCTCCATCCCTAGCTAAGTTCCGTTTTGACCTCCTTATGTTCTGAAAAGATCCAGTAGATTCACCAGCATTGTTATCACTGTCCACACTCCTCTTCATAAGTGCAGCAGACTTCTGCCTCAGTGACTTTTGATTTTTGCCCTGAAAGGTTTCTTCAAGTTGAAGAACTTCTTGACCCACTTCCTGAACCTTGAGACCATCTGTTTTACTTTCAACTCCTGAACTCTTCCCTTCCACCTGAGTCCGCAAGCGTGTGATCCTACCACCAAGATCAATTTTTTCTGGTTCCTCATTCAAAACACTTGAGACCTTGACCTTTGTCGCATTTCCTTTTCTTGCAGGAACAGTGTCTTCTGGAGTCTCACTTGGTAAAAGAACCCCATGACTGCCTTCATTTTCCTTGGTTTTCTTTGAACCCTTTGGCGCTAGACTCTTCCTCAAAGCCTTCAAATTTCCACCATCTTCACTCACCACCTCCCTGCCTCTCAACTGTCTTTGAATCAACCCACGACTCAAATTTGCATTTTCTGTATTACCATCAAGTCTTTCATTTAACTCAACTTCCAGAGGTGGTTTATCACAAACGTCAACCTTCTCCACCCCAGTTTTTGCTTTCTTCTTTCTGTGAAGAGGTGAAAAAACTGCTTCTGCACCTCCTCCAACTGATTTTTGCACCCTGGACCTTGTAGCTCTACCTCGTTTTTCAACAATATTTATATCAACCGATAATTCAAGTCCTTCAGAATCTTCGAAAGCCTCAACATGCTTATTCTTCTCTGACACCTGCTTGACAGACATTGTCTTCCTCTTTCGTGGCTGTTTCTTCTTTGGATTGTAATTGCAATCCGAATCCGAGTCTTTATCGGTACCCACGAAGTAAAAGGTTTCATTTTCTGGACTGAAGGTCACTGTCTTCACCTTCTTTGCCCTAAGGTCCGAATCAATTTCCCCTTCATTTTCTTCTATATCTCTACAGACCGGCCCAATGGGTTCTTTATCTTCCTGTTTATACAAACAAACAAAAAAAAAAATCGAAAAACGAAAAATGTTACCAAATTAACAAAAAACAACATCATAAAGTACCTAAAAAGGAGAGAAATCACTTCCAAATAACAAATTGAAAAATTATATTCATAATTTCAAACCCAATAAACCACCCCCATACACACACATGCATTTTCCCCAATTGAGTTGAGCGCTTCTTGAAAATATAACATGAAACCCAGAATTTTCCTCTCAATAATTTTCTCGGCATCCAAACAGAAAACAAGACTAAAGAAAATAATCAGAAAGATGAAAACATACGATATGGATATAATAAAGATGAAAATTTTCTCTTTAAGACGGGATTACCTTGAGAAGCAAAGTGAGCCTACTGGCCATTTCAGTGTTCTTCAAATTTGCAGGAATCCCGTGCTGTTTACAAAGTGATTGAAGTTGCTTCCTCTTCATCGCATGGAAATCCATCTCTCTCTAATCACGCATTCAAAATTCAGGATTCAAAATTGGAAAAACAAATTGAAACCCACATCATAGAAAGCAGAAAATTAATATATGGAATAACAATTAGGAACAATTACTGGTACCTATTCTTCTTCGCCAATGCGAAATTGGCCTCCTAGAAAAGTCAGAAGGTTTCAGAGGAAAAGAATGAAAGAAAGAAAGCGCGAAATAAATGTAATCAATCAATCAAAGACGGAGGATTTAAAGGTGTCTGCGTGTTTTGGTTGTCGAGAAAATTGAATTCGCCTTTTGGATTTCGACGTTTTCATTTTCCGAATTAGATAAAAAGGAATCGGTTTGAATTCCGGTTTTTGCTTTTTCTGCTGTTTTGAATTCAAATGGAACGAGTTTCCCGCTTTCCAACACGAAGAGGGAAACGATCGTAATTTTGGTAAGTGCATTTACAGGTGTCATGTGGCTATAGGATGCTTTGAACAAGAGTTTCAAATGACTCTGGCTTATTCTGGGTTTGGGTAAGAAATTTAAAAGGTAAAATGACAAAAAACTACCTTAATTATAACTCACGACATTATCATAACTCATTTTTAAAATTAACAATATCATACCTAATCTTTAGAATTTGGTCCAATGTTATACCTTCCGTTAGCTTGGCCGTGAATTTCTCAATTAAATGCTGACGTGGCTTGATTCGAGACCCATTTTCTATTAAAAAATTAATAATATATTTAAAAATAATAATTCAATATTTAAAAAATTAATTAAATATTAAAAAAATTAAAAAAACAAAAAACCAATAAAACACCCATCAACCCATGTCCCCCTCCCCAAAAACCCAGATCCCCTTCTCCCTACCAGAAACCCTTCCCATACATCCCCCCTCAACCTTCCTCCACCACCTACCCTCTCTCTCCTCTCTCTCTCTCTCACCTCTCTTTCTTCTCTCTCTATGGGCAACATGCATCCCCAAAATCCTAAAACCCATTACAAATCTCAAAACCCAAAATCTCATCAAACCTCCCAAATCTCAAGAAGGCAGCTCTGTTCGACTTCGACCTCACCATTCCTATCTAGATGGTGTAGGGATTAGAGAGAGAAAGAAAGATGGAGTGTCTCTGATTTGGGGCTAGGGATTAGAGAGAGAGAGAATGAGTTTCTCTGATTTGGGGGTGCGCTCGGCTGGGGAGAAGGGGTGTGTCTGATTTGGGAGTGGGCTCGGGTAGGGAAGACGAATTGGTTTTTTTTGTACATGAACATGGACCAGCTCTAGGAGCTACGGGTGAAGCCATCGTCGACCTCCTTGGCATCGAAGAGGGTGGGTGGTGGAGGAAGGTTAGGGGGGACGGGTGGGAAGGTTTCTAGGTTTTGGGATTTTAGAGATGCAGGTTGCAGGGAGAGAGAAGAGAAAGAGGCGAGAAAGACCGAGAGAAAGGAGAGAAAGGGTGGTGGAGGTAGGTTGGGGGAACAGGTGGGGAAGGATTTGTAGAGGTGGATCCCACAATTTTATATAAAAATAATTTATTTTTAATTTTTTAATATTTAATTATTAAAAATACATTTAATTATTTTTAAATCTAATAGGATTAATGAGTGGCCCCGTCTCTAGCCACGTCAGCACTTAACAGAGAAATTAACAAAAAAACTGACGAAGGTCTGACATTGGCACAAATTCGTAAGATGAGGTATGACATTGTCATTTTTAAAAGATGAGATACGATAGTGTCGTTTGACCTATAGTTGAGGTAGTTTTGTGTAATTTACCCAAATTTAAATAACAATAACAACTAAACTTGCAGGTGGGCCTCTACCACAGTGGTGAGGAGGAATGACACTTTGCACTAAAACGGGGGTTTGAACCCCGTCAGTGGGAAATTAATTCTAACTTAACGACAATATCCCTCAACTCAAAAAAATAAAATAAAATAAAAAAACAACTACTAAACTTTATTTCACTAAGTGTGGTCTATTGTATAAATTCTAAAATGTGATTGTGCTCATTTTTGCTCCAAGTATTCCAATTTTTTTTTCTTATAGTCTCTTTCAAGGTCTTCATAGGTATTTATCTATCATTGCTGCTCTGAGCTTCTGTCTTATAGTCGCATCTTCTAAGTAGTAAGAGAATTTAAAAAAAAATGGAAATTATTATTATGGAGTTTGTTGCTGAAATTTTGTTGTGCCTTAAGGGAGGGATGGTAGGGTGGTGTGGTGGCGATAATGGTGATAGTGGCGCCATGGTGGTGACTTCAGGGGGTGTAGTGGTGGTGCTGACAATCATGGAAATATGGTGGTAATATGGGGAAGGGGATGGTAGGGGTGGTGCGTTAGATGATGGCGGTGGTAAGTGAAACATTTTTGGCTAAAGAAAGTAAAAAAGTTT